ATCTACATATAAATTACAAAAACATAAGGATATTGCATTGAACAAACACACTTGGGACTGAATAAATATAGATGTACTGTATAATATTGTAGTGGGAACATCTGTTTTTAGAAAGATCTAATGTTTATTTCTAATTCTTCCTTTTACACATTCTTTCAAAATTACTGAAATAGAACAGCAACCGAATAAAAGAATAATATGCAGAATACAAGTTACTTTAATGTCTCCACTTGAGGACAAAGAAATGCAGACAAAATGGAACAGATACTACAGTATATAGGCTTCAAACTAATGTTAAGTGAGACTCAGAGGTACTGTACATACCACTACAGAGCTGTTTAATCAATCTTGAAGAATGGTACATAGTAGGCAGAGAAAGAAGAATATGTGTATTACAAGCTTCCATTGGGCAATCGTAAACAGCATTTGAATAAAGCTTTTTATTCACATTATAGTTTCTGTGAATTATTTAACTTTCAAAATTTCACTCAACTAATGCTTAAATGTATGATCTGTGTATATACTGTATAGTAGAATGTGTTGGTGAAAATGACTTTTCACCAGTCCATTACAGTTAATAGACACTTATGTAAAACAATACTTTTTAAAATTAGTAAGGACCTGGAGGAATTTGCTTATAAAATAAGTGTTATACATGTAATTTCTTATTATAATGTTATTATTTTTAAAAGTATTGTTCTTCAACACACATATTTTGACAGAAAGATTTTTGCAAAAAATTTCCAGAGCACATCTGAATTCAGACAATCTCTGCAGTGAGCCTAGATCCTGCTGACTCATATTCTATGCACGCACAATTTTCTTACCACAGTGCTGTCACAATTTATGTCATTTCATTGTCACTAAATATAAACTGATGTAGTACAAAAGCAGGATATGAGCTTTAATGTCTTCTACATGTATTTTGTAACTTCTCATAAACAGGATAAGTTTTGTATGATCAATACGGTAACTGAAAACATTTTGATGCATTACTAACTGAAGTTTTGGAATATATATAATTTTAGGGTGTTTTTTCTATGGCGTTATAAACAGTTATCATCTGTGAGATAAGAAGAACATTTTATTTTCTGAAGTTAAAGAGGAGATGTGGAAGTATGTGTGCAAAACCTGATGTTTTCCAACCCAAGACATCAATATTGCATAGTGGGAATAAAAAACATATTTTGTTGTGATTGTTTTTTTTTTCAGATGACCCTGATACTACATATTTCTTGACATCCACGACAGATTACTGTCCCACTGATGGGCCTGACACACTGATCTGAATCCTTGTCTTTTTGCCTGCAGGGACACCTTTTAGATTGAGTATTCCAGTCCAGTCCAGGGCTATTGAAGATTTTAAGGCAGAAGATGAACTAAGAAATTCAATTTTACAACAACTCTTCAAATGTCAGTATTTTACTTGACAGTACGCCTCTGGAAGTCTGTTAAATGTAATGGGCGTATAAAAAATGTTGTAAAGTAAGGCACTGATGTCTGAAGTTTACAGAAAATGTACTTTTTTTGTATTCTAGTTATGTAATTTAAATATATAACTAGACTTTGTTTAATTAAAAAATGTATGTTATTTATATACAGTATACTGTACAAAGAGTGGCATGGTGATGCAAGGGTTAGCATTGCTGCCTTAAAGCAGTGGAACTCTGTGTTTGATTCCAGAACTGGGGTGCTATCTGTGTGAAGTTTGCATGTTCCCCCCATGTGCACCTGGGCTTTCACCAGGTGCTTCAGTTTCCTTCCACGGTCAAAAGACATACAGATAGGTTAATTGTCTTTGGGTAAATTGTCCCTTGTGTGAGTGTGTGCCTTTTCTGTGTCTGATTGTGCCCTGAGATAGACTAGTATCCTGTCCATGGTGTATCCCGCCTTGTGCCCAGGCCAGGCTCCAGCTCCCCCGCGACCCTGAATTGGATATGAAGTGGTTGGAAACTGGACGAATGTATATGAAAAGAGCATGAGAGGAGGAGAGAAAGCGAAAGAAACAATGCCTTTTGGGTGAACTCATTTTACATTGTGGGCAAATATTAACTATTGAGGAGCAGCAAAGTTAAGAGGTTCACAAGACATCCTATACCACAAAGCTAAAGCCAAACTGTTTTTGATAAATCTCCCCAAACCAGAAGTTGCATTATTGCTCTGTATTTTGTCCAGCTAGCTATTATGGTTTGAATTACATACTTGAAAAGAGCTTTGGTATGGGCAATTTTACTTCTCTCCAGCATTTGCATGCACTTGCCTTGTTACATTTGGTTTCCAGCATTTAAGGATATTTGCCACATTTTCAGAGCAATTGACAGCAAGCAGTCTCCTTAAGTTTTCAGCATGTTTGGATTATACAGTACCACAGTGGAAATGTTTTGAAAGTGACATACAATACTGTAAATGTGAATGACAAGTCGCATCAACAAATATGCATACAGTACCTACCATTGTTCTTGAATGTTTTTGATTCCTTAACATTTCTATTAGTTTATGGAATTTGATTTTAAACAACTACATTTGAATATTATTTTGTAACTGGGGGTAGAAAACTAACCTGCAATGTTAAAAAGCAGTATTCACTACTCACAATGAACCACCAGGAGGCAGCAGTTTCCAATGTGCCAGGGGAATTAATGTCACATGAGAACCATTCCCTTGTGAAGTACTGTAACTGATCTTACCGCTTTCTGTCTCTAATCCCAATGTTTCTTGAAATTAGAAAGTTTATTTAGAGTGATAAAAAGTGGACTTTTTTTTAAACATGTTCAGTAATTTTGGTTAGTTATAGGAATCTGAAAAATGGTTTCTTCCCAATCCATTTCCTATTAATATTCAGATATGTTATTAGTTAAATAAGGAAGTAAATCATAATCTTTCCCACCCCTGAGAATATTTTTTTTTTCCACTTTAGGCATAGATGACATAACCTTTAGTACAGCATTTGAAAAACACATACATGGGATTGCCCAAGGGGTTGTGGGAGTATGGAATAGGTTCTCTATCTGCTTATAAGAAATGGCTGGATGAGATCCATGGATCATTTCACAACAAACTACCAAATTGGCTAGTTGGGCTGTCCAGCCTTCTCTCGTCTGCAACTGTTCTTATGTTCAAAACTGTTCATGTTTTGTCCCAATTCTTTCAAACATGAATGAAAATGAATTAAACAGCCAAAGCAAACACCAAAGCCAAGGAAAAAAGCCAAGGTATTCAGCAATATTAAAATGTATCTTAGGGAAGTTTTATTTGTGCCTTTTGGGATATATGGGTCTTTTGAAGATGTTTGTTGTATTTTTTACCATTGTTAACATAAAGTGTGCAACCAAGGAACTTCATGCCTGCAGATCCTGCCTAGAGCTTTGAATTGTCAGCTATGTCAGTTGAATCCCTTGCAAAGCTTTAAAGGTATTTTAGCTTATGTCTCCTAGAATACCCTTCTAATGGAGAGGCATGTGTAAGTGAGAAAACCATTGAATGCCAAAACAATCTAAAACTGAGACTAAGGAAAGAGATATAAAAAGATATTTTAAGCAGAGACATAAACTTTGGAGTACCTGAGTTCAGTAGTATCAGAAAGGTTACATTACTTATTTTTAATTTCAGTATTCCTCCACAGCATCTGTTTTGCTGTATTCTTGATCTGTCTTGATCCTATTTATTGAAAAATGAAATGTATCAAGGCCAATATGATAGGTACTGTATATTGTACCTGGTTCTTCTTCAAATGAGCAAACTAGAGTATGAAGCATTTCATATTACTGGGTTAATTTGGTGTGGTTATGCAATGGCATTTTAGAGTTCAAGCAAACATTTTAAATCAAAACAGTATTTATGTTTTAAACAGTAAAGAGTGTTGCAAAATGTGATGTGTCCTGTGATGAATAAGATTATATTGATATATTCGCCAAAAAACTGTTCACACAGCAATAACATGAGAACTGATTGAGAAATTACCAGAACAGGGCTCTGAACCTAATGGAAATGGGTAAAAGGAATGTAGTCATTGCTGAAACTGGATAGCTGTGTATTTAATGTCACAACTGAATTCATTAGCAAATGCATAAAATCATCTTTGAGCTGTCAGCCACCCTATTTTCTTCTCTTGAGATTTTGTTTTTCAGTTACAGAAAAACTCTGTGCATACACAATGGAAGAACTTCACAACAATAGAAAATAGGATTTGATCTAACTCTTGTGGATAACAAGATTGGTATGAAATAAGTGAGAGTAAATCAGAAGCAGAATTAATAAGAAAGGCCAGGCTTTGGGTTAAGGATACACATGGTAGTTCTGATCATTTTTGTTTTACAATTTAGAAGTGATTTAGCTGGTTTAATCACTAAAATCCAATCAAGCTTATTTTTCATATCTTTAAAGCAAACTGGTTTGCTTCTTGAGTTGTTGGGATTACCACCTCATTCTTAATGGAAGAAAGATGCAAACTGGTAGTATCATTCAACCATTATAGCAAATACTGTACCACCAGAATATTTTCTCTCAGACAGGACTACTGTAAATCCCGCGCAACCACAAGAAGAAGCCTGACAAATTTTAAATTCAATTAGCTGCTTTACTGCTAAATTTGCAACATGGACCTAACAATTCCCCTAGTTCGTAAGTTTTCTTATGTTCGAAATTGGCGCTGAATATCCTTATCTTCTACCATATCATGTGCAAAACAAACAGTTTTAATGCTCTCATGAAGTGCATTTGTTGAAACTGCAGAAAATCTATATTAAATTATCTCATTTCCATTTTAACACTATAAGGAATCTCAAAATAATTAGAATAATAAAGATGTCTGTTATTCTATGCATATTTAAACTTGGAATATATTTATGAACCTGATAGCTTTGGTACTGATAAACAAATACACCCTATAAGTCATGACATTTTTTTCCAGTTTTTCATGTTTAATATATGCATTCAATTTAAATCTAATACAATATTATACAATACAAATATAGTGTTATATGTACATTTTATATCCCTTCACTTTTAAATAAGACAGCTTCAAAAGTCTATAAATAAACAAATATGCTGTAATTCAAAAACAGTTAAAATTAAACATTTACGATCAAGATCATGAATAATGAAATGGATATTAAGATTTAATAAATGTAACTTTCAATTAAAAAGCTAATTGTAACTCCAATGAGGCACCGTAACATCGTCCAGAATAAACATTTCACTCAGATGCCGTATTAGTAGTTGTTTGAATACAAGAAAAATAAAAAAATGAAACTGAACTTTGAAAAGTGAAGTTAGAAACATAAGAAATTAATCTGAATATAAAAGACATGATCGGTGCAGCACAATACAGTCAGGTGAGATCTGGTGAGAAGTACGCAGCTGTTACTGAGCGGTGATGTCATCACGTCTGTGGAGTGGAGAAAAAATCTTTTTACTGTTCAGCGGTCTATAAAGATAGACCTAATCCCACTTTATCCAGGACAGGCGGGCTGTCAGATCTAAAATTTGTGAGAAAACAAAGCAAGACAAACAGAATGATTTAAATACATTTTAATGACCATTTAACAAGTCACCCATTCATGCGTCTATTTAAGCAGTATATTAATTAATTAAACCAATCCCTCTCCATGTAATACTGAGAACTGTTTAACTAAAGAATGCAGCGCTCTATTGATGCTAGTGAGACTACTTGGGTCTTAGAGAAACGGCTTTTGAACACAAAAGCCAAGGATCGGGCAGATGGAAACAAAGCATACAGCAAAAATGAACAAAGGAAATTGACTAATAGAGCATACACACTGCTGTTTTAAAACCATTGCAGCGCAATTAAAAGCCAAGTCCTTTTTATTTGTGTTCATATTATTTGCATATTCTTTCTTAGTTGGCTTTGAAAAGGAAATTTGACTCTGTAGTGTTTTCTCAAAGTGTAAAATTCTATGGTGCTTTGGCTTAAAACAAACTCTTCAATCCAACGATATTGTAAAGTGCTTTTTTAAAAAACACTTTTAAATGCCTTTCATGCCCTTGCATTTTAAATAAGGCGTTGTAAACATTTCTGTTGAATTCAATTCTGTAATGTGGCATGGTTTTAAACACAAAACACGTACAGTACTTGAAGGACCCCATTTTCTGGGCCCTACTTATTGTAAAGAAATAGAATTTGTAGTTTCGAAAATACTACCTTAAATTTAGTCAGATGTTTTTTAAATACATTGGGCACCATAGTTGAAAATATTGATGCCAAGTATAAATGATGTGACAAAAACGCATTTATTTGAAAACGTACAAAGCCTTTCATTTAGTTAGATTTTTGCACTAGAAAATATGATTTCAAGAAAGATCCGGATAATGGATTTTCCATTAAGAACGAGCCTTTAGAAAGCTGAATAAACGAAATACAAACATGTAAAATATCACTTTCAAGTAAAGGGTGATAAATAATCATAGATTCACATATCTATTTTACTGTATGATTAGTAGTTTAATCATGAAAGGGAACTTCTACATTATTCCCAGTTAACAACATTTTTTATTCTTTATACTGTATAGCAAGCACACATAGAGCGGGACTGCCGTTTGTACTCAATCGCCTCCTGTTAAAAAAATGTTTAATTAGAATAGTTATATTGTGGAATATGTTTCTGTTGTGAACTTAATCTTAACAATTCTTCAAATACAATTTTAAGTGCATAACTTTTGTTAGCACTATGCCAAAGGAAAAACATACAGTGGTTCAGGTATGATCTGAATGAAAAGTACTTATGCTGAGAGTGTATCGGTATAATTATGCGTCCAACAGTAAAATCTGTGAACAGAAAATATCTTAATTTCTCTTATCAAGTGCACCACAATATTGTTTTTGACCCGAAAACATAAAAATCGCTACACAATAACTATGGAAACCTACCACTTGTATTCCAAATGGCGTTGGTCTGATTTTTGTAGCCGTTTTTCATGCACTCGTCCACGTAAGACTTTGGGTCGCAACCTGAGAGCAAGATTTCTCTCAAAAGGGCAATGTACGCGATGGCCAATCTCAATGTGTCTATCTTGGAAAGGCGCTTCTCATAGGGAAATGTGGGCACATGGCACCGAAGCTCCTCGAAAGCAGAATTAATGCTCAGCATCCTTTTTCTTTCCCGGATATTGGCAGCATGGCGCTGGACTTTGTAAGGGTGGTGAGGCGCCAGCCTGCGCTGCCTGCGCTTGCTTATGTCTTGAGGCTCGTCCGCAGAGGAGCTGTCCACTTCAGCACTGGCTTCCAGCTGCGGGGAATGGGACTCAAGATCGGTGAAAGTTAGCTGAGCTTCAGGAAACACAGACTGACAACCGAAAGAAGACCACGGGGATAGCTGTCCTGTCATGGGCGGACAGTCAAAAAGCAGACTGTCCAACTGAGATTGGAATTGAAAGTTGGGATCCATTTGTCCCCAAAACGCAAAGTCTGATGTAGAGTCTTGGTCAAAGTCAAAAAATATCTCTTCCATTTTCACTGATTGCTCTATATATGCTTGCTTACTTGAAAATCAACTCCTAATTTTCTCTTGCTTTACCCAATGGAATATTAGAATCGAATAATAATGATATTGATCAAATTTTAACTTTCAAAAATATGATATCAACGCAGTTTTTATCAGGATTTGGTCACGTTCTTACTGGAGCTTTATTTTTCCCAACACTGAACCTTGTCCAAACTGATCGAGAGATGGAGAAATCTTGAGGGTTAAATAGTTTCAGGTCTCCCAGCAGGATGCTTGTCTCTATTCTTCTGTTTTAAAAGGACCTAATTAGGACACGTGCTTTCTTTCTAATAGAGTCACTGCCTTTGCAAAAGCGGAGATGAACACAAAGAAAGCAGTTGATCTTGAAGTGACCGACAGTAAAAAGGACCAAGTTACTCATTTAGAAGTTTTCTCAAGTTCTTTCCTATTCATCACGGATCTTGCACTAATATTTATATATATAAAAAATTTGCCTTACACATTTTAAACGTCTTTAGCGTACGGGGTTCTTCCTGGTGCGTGGATGTGATAGAAAGGGATGATTTAATAAGAGGCCTTTTGCAAATCTTAATTAAAATTCAAGCAAAGGAAAACAATAGTGTCAGAAACATATGATACTATCCCTATTTAGTGGACCAAAAAAAAAAAGCAAGAAGAATTTTAAATAAGTGCGTCGGTTACTTATGAGTTGGAAACAAAAGCTACACCGCAGACGTTTATAAAATATGCCATGTTAATTAACCATGACTAACTGGAATCTATTTTTATTTTTTGTTATGGTAATAAATTAACACCGCTACCTGATTATTTATCTTTTCAATTACGATCGTCATCTAGCTTTAAAAAACATGCAATGTTGTCATTCAATATTTATATGAAACTGAGTTGGTATTAACTAGATGATTAATTAGATGATAAGATTAATACGATAATAACTAACTTCACGAATTGAAAAGCGCATAAAAAGCATTGAATACATATTTATTGAGATATTAATGGAGAACGAGTACATCAATACCATAAGAATTTAATTCATACACTCTCTGCCTTTGAGGTTTTTATAAGACATTTTAAAGCCTTTAAATTCTTACTTAATGAAATGAAAACCTGGATTCTTTTGGGCTTTTTCTGGGAAAGAAAATAACATTTTTGCCATTGAGTAAAAAATAAAATAATCTTCTACTGATCTTCTACACATTTATCTGTTGTTAGTTGACTCCACATTTATTATGTTGATCTGCTTGTCTTTTGGTTATGAACATAACAGTTTAATAAAATGATAAACTATTAGGATTAGGCTTCTGTAGAGTAAAACATTGTTGTAAATGTAAAATTTGGTGTCAGTGTTGCTCAGTCAATGACCATACTCTATTGTTCTTACCATGTCAATCTGAAATTAAATCTATACACTACTATATACACAACCCTTCCTATAATAAGGAAAACATTTCATACTTGTGCATAGTTGAGGTTAAAATCCACACAAGAAATATCAACTGAGTTTTAAATGTGTTTTAAGGGATAATGAGATAAATCCCTTTCTAAAGCATTGTGCAGGGGTCTCATGAAGAGTAAATAAAATTGTTTTACTGCATGCATGTGCATCAGGAACAAAGGTACTTCCTTATTTTTCTAAGAAACAAAAGGTTTTTGTAAGTTAGTTTAAAACAATTTAGACTCAGAATTTGAACATTAATAGTTAAAAATGATCTGTATAAAATAGAATAATTTTTGGTTCTTGTTCATGTTTATTCAATGAAAATGTTTTTTTTCTTTAATATACTGTATACAGTAAAGCAAAAAAAAAAACCAAAAGACTATAAGGCATCATAATATTCATTAAATGAAGGTACAATGGGAAATGGTACCGTGCCTTGCAAAAGGTTTCAAACCTTCCCTATGGAGTCCCATTTTGTGAAATTAACATCATACTGTGCATACACATTATTTAAACTTAGTATTTTATTCAAAGCTTGCTTGATTAAACTGAAGATTTCTAATGGTGAGGTACAGTAAGTTGTTAAAAAAAAACTAAATAGAAAAACTATAAATATTTTCATTGCGTACATATTTAGATCCATGTAAGTTGGTGGAAGCACCCTTAACAGCAATTACAGCGACAGCACGGCTGGGTCAGTCTCTACCAACCTCGCATACAGGATTTGTGCAATACCTGCCCAGCGCTCTTTTCAGATTTGCTCAAGCTCTTTCTAGTTGCTTGGAGATCGCTTATGGACAGCAGGTTTCAGGTCTTTCTACAGATGCTCAATTGAATTCAAGTCATTCTCTTTCTTACTCTTAAGTTGATTCAGTGTATCTTCATGCTTTGGATCCATTGTCCTGTTACAAGACTGAAACAGGTTTTCTTTAAGTATTTGTCTATACTTTGTTCCATCCATTTTTTCCTTCAGTCCCGACAAGCTCTTCAGTCCCCGCTGAGGTGAAACATTCCCATAACACGATGCTGCCATCATTATGCTTGACTACAGGGATGCTGACAGGGAGATGCTGTGCTGGGTCTGCATCAAACATAATGCTGGACATTTCGACACCAAATTTCCAATTTGGTCTTATCTGTCCACACCTGAAGAAGGCTCCATGGCCGAAACGTTGTGTTCCCTTTCTTCTTTTTTCCAGCATGGAATAAACCTATTACTTGTTCCTTTTCAGCCTACGCATGCTGACGCAGCTACCCACTTTATCTGTCCATAATACCTTTTGCCAACTTTTCGAAAGAATTACTCAAGTGCTTTGTTGCAAAGTTCATACAGTATACAGAAGACGGCTTGTTTTTAGTCATGGTTAATGTTTTGACATACGGGCTAGTTTTGGGAAATGTTCTGGATCTTGTTCACTGATGCACATTTTTCCTATCTCAGCCATTGGCCTCTGGAGTTCTTTCGATGTTGTCAATGGCTTCATAGTGGCATCTCTCATGAGTTTTCTCCTTGCCTGGCTGCCAGGGAGGGATGGCCAGATCTAGGCAGTGTCTGGGTAGTCCAGTGCACCTTCCATTTCTCAATGTTTGAATAGACTATGTTCACAATGGTGGACTGAGGCCTTAGCATTTTTTGTATCCTTCTCTTGATTTGTACTTTTCAATGACTTTTATTTCGGACATCATGAAATCTCCTAAATTTTCGTTATTGAGTATTTGCTTGACATTCACTATCTGACCAAGGATCTTTACAGAGACAGGTGTTTTTATTCTGAAACAGCGGAACTGCAATTATTACACCCTCAGGTAATTGTGTGGCTTGTTAAGGTAATTTTGTATACCTAAATTAATTTTGGATTGAAACAGCAAACCAACAACTTTTCAATTTTTCTTTAATATTAATTGTTAACCTCTTTTTTTGCTTTGAATGTGTGGAGTATGGTGTGTATTTAACAAAAATGAATTGTGTCATGGCTGCAAGCTCTAAAGCAACAGAATCATGAATTCCATTCACCATAGTCATAGTGTGCACTGACATTTCCTGATAATATCATCCATGACAGCTGAAAGCTGACCATTGCATTGTGGTAATAATTTGTAAATACCATTATTACAATTCGGAATATGATGGATGGGCAGAAAACAGAGGTTCTAATTATGTTAGTTTTTCTTAAATGTTATGGCTAGTTTTTGAAGACAGTTAAAGAAATAACAGAAGCCTTTTTATTTAGTAAATCTGTTTACATTTCCTAACATAAGGTTTCCATTATGCACACTAAGTGATACACATTGAGAGGGGAGTGTCAGCCATTAAGTCCATAAGCCGATGGAGTGTGGCAGTTAAAGCTTAAGACCAGAAGCACAACTGAGTTCTATAAAATCTTGTAGGTCTGCATTTTGTTAAGGACTTGGAATTTTTTGGAGAGCTATACAGAAACATGATGGTGGTTCATAAAGTTCTAAACCTAACATAGACTAAAACACCATTGACCATTCATACTGTAGCTACAGTACATACAGTATACAGTAGCTAGGCACTATGCTTTTCATGCTTTATTTCTTCATACACCTTCACATTAACATTAAGCAAACTGGATTCTAAGAGGATTGTTTGTTGCCACCTAGGTTTAGGATTTTTATTTTTACATAAAACATTGTACACGATTCTATGCTGATAAGAATTGTTTTTGGAATATATCCTACTGTATAAACCATAGAATAATGAAAAATGCATTGGAAACTGAATTGAAAATCTGAAATGCATGCTAAAATGGAAGAGGGATCAGCAAACATCATTCTTTTACTTTGTAAATATTAATTTTTAAAAGTCAACTGAATTCATTTTGAAATTGTTACATTTTGTGACTGAATTCACATTGTAGTTTTTGATCCATTTCAGGTACACTTACATAGCCAATTCACATTATTGTATATGCTGTTAATGAATAATTAAAGGTTTATTCTATGCTGAAAAGAAAAGAGACATGACAGTTTAGCTGTGGAGCCTTCTTCGGGTGTCAACTACTTGAACTTCTTATTCAATATGTTGTTCAACTGTGCTTGGTCATTATGTACTGATTAAAAATTCAGCTTCCATTTTTAGCTACAACAGTGGACTATAAGACATTGCCATCAATTAACAATATGCATTGCATAATTCATTCATGTTTGCCAAGAAGTGTGATGTGCAGTCAATGTCTGTTAATGAGCCAGACAATCCTTATTGTCTCAGATTGCTTTCTATAAAAACACGACAGGGTCTCTTTATTGCAGAACGGTAAACTGAAACTTCTGTAGGACATATAGCTCAAGAGGTTCCTCAGGTTTAGCTATTCATTTAAATAATTGCTCCTGTTTAAGTCTTCACAGATGTTCCATAATTTGACAGCTGTGCCATGTGTTATTTTAGGGCTCACTGAAATCTAGGACAGAGCAAACAAGCTCATGAATACATATACCTGGTAAAGCATTCGACATAAAGAACAAACAGAATCAGTAAAACAAATGCATTTTAATTTTATTGTAATTCTTATAAGAAAAAGATCATAGTTTTTTTAGACATCTTGGGTCAAGTCAGCATGGGTGACTCTACTAATCCAAGAGACATTTTAGATGTTAAAAACACAATTTTAGAGTTACCAGCATTGAAATGTTTGTTTTGAGGTTTAAGAGTATGTGTTAATGTTTGCCACTCAATACACACTAATTCAAGTATTGTCAGGTGGATAATTCATTTTCTTGT